TTGGCCCCACCTTGCACAAGCCGGTTGTTTACGCAAACTATGCGAAGGCACCTCGTGTTGGGAGCCATAATTCTTTATAACGCTTAAACTCGCAACTTGTTTTTTTTTTTTTCTAATCCTGTGCGCCTTAGTTCCGTTCTTTATGAAGGCCTTCCGTCTGAATGTGCATATTGCCATACACAGTGGCGTACCTTGATACTGTTATGAGCACTTCAATTTTGTCACGCAGACCTATGCATAGCTCAGTGGCAAGTATATACAGTAATTTTCATATCTCATGAAATATTAGCCGAAATTCTGAGATGTGCTTTCGATTCGAATATATTAATTAAGTATGGTTGTATTTTTGATTGCTGTGAAACTTAATCTCTATATATTAAGCTCACATCAGCATGATTGCTTTTCAACGACGATCTCTCTGTACAAAAGGTGCTGCTTAAGTCGTATGTATTTTTCTCATTTATTTTCACTGCTCTCATGAATTCAAATTTATTTTATAGAAAAGATACACAAAACTATTCTTTATTGTATTCGTTTAGTAGGAAATTACGCTTTCTTCACATTTTTACACTTGAAGAAAGGATAACTTTCGGTTTCAAAAAAGTACACAATTATGAGATTTGCTTACGACCATACAAAGTGCATTTATAAAGCAAAGTATCTGTCCAGTTGTTAATGTTGCTTGGTCAACATCCATAGCAAAATTTGTTGAGAACTTTATGACTTCATCCGTTTTTGCTGAAACTTTCTGATGGTTGGAATTGAATTCAAAATTACTCGATCGGCAATATAGAGACTATTCTAAAAATCGAAATATACCTTTTCTTCAAGTATAACATTTAAAGAGGGCGTACTTTGCTGCCAAACGCGTACAAAGAAGGATATTTTTGTGCGTTTTTTCTATAACATATACTTGCATTTGTTGAGAAAATGAAAATCAGTGAGCACAAGGTATAGTACTTAAGTTGCCATTTTGTACAAAGTATACTTTTCATAGGCGGTCAGAAAGGTGCCCGTACAGAGGCCGGCAGCCTGTCGTGACAAATAATCAATGCCACCACCCTGTTTAAGTAATTTACTTTTTATTTGCTCAGAAACCTGGGGCTTCTTGTATACAACACCGCTACCTATCATACTTCTGCCGTAATTTATTCGAATTGAAAAAACTTTTCGGTTGGTGTTTCATGAGATAGGGAATTTACTGTACGAATGAATGAAAAAATCGCGTTCCATGTATTTGCATGGATAAGGAAGGATTGTCGAGCACCGGATTAATTCGTTTATTAGCCTGAGCTTTCGAACTCTTACAGGAGTCCATCGCCTGAGCTAAGAAATAGCAACAAAAAAGGAGCCTAATTATAGTGTGCATACACCAATCAACTGTCAGGGGTCGACAGGTCGTAAGGGCTAAGAAGAAGTCGGGGAGGGGGGG